AGTACAGTAAAAATATTGTTCTTAGTTTTACACATTTCTGGAGTACACTTGAGAGTTCTGAAAACCTTTTGTGATTGCTGCACAATTGGTTTATATGATCGTTGTATCCAGGAGGTAATTGTCCACAGAGGTCGCAGCAGTTATCGACTGGCATTTTCGCTTTAGGACATCGTGCTGTCACGAGACTCGATCTGTTGATAAGTTTTTCTGCACTTTACTGTTATTTTGTCTAACATTTGATACCTACATATATCGGTTCCCGACATGCCTGTTGGTAAGAGCGTTGTCGAGGGTTTCAATACAACGTTTCTCCATCTTGGTGAGATAGTGGATCTCGAGATCCATGGTGACGATAGGGGTGTTGTTGGTGAAGATGATGTATGTGCTGATGCACGGTTTGAGGGAAATATATTCATCTCCAATATGAAATGAATGCCTAACGTTCAAGGATGAAGGTATGCGAACAGTTGTCTTCATTCAATTTTATTTGAAATGGCATGACTTTTCATGGTTTAGTTAATTGACCATGCTACATGTACATAAAAATTGACACATTGATTTACATTCATGTGCGCTGACATATTTTGGTACATTGGTTTTGACACCACTTTTTAACAGTCATACTTTTGACACATAGGGGGTGTCAATCAATGTGTATATATTGACTACACAAGTAGTTTAATCCACAAATATTTGGTTGAGAATTTGAATATGGAAAGTGAATGTCGTTTATTTGTGTCTATTACGTGCATATTTTGACAATGGTAGTTTGTTAATTAATGAAAACCAATATTTGTGCAAGTGGAAAATTAGATCTGGGTCTATGTGTGGATTGTGATTTCAATAACTTTAAATGTGGAAGTACATAGACTAGACATTAACAATCCTAATCATTTTTACACGGTTTGAGGTGGAATATATGAAATGGATATTGTCTATTTAGAATACATTCCTAATTAAGGAATTGTGGGTAACTTATTTTACAAGTGACAATTTGTATACTTTATAAGTTATAGTTTTATTTATTTATTTATTTATTTTTTATATGAACGTGAGAACGTAGAAAGCCTTTTTACTAATTTTAGAAGTATGAGAATGGTTATGCTAACTTTAGAAGTATGAGAATGGTTTATAAATGTGATGCACTCTAAATCAAAAGTGGATAAAACTGGATGGAAAATGGATTATTGCATAGTATTGTATATGCAATAATAATTATTGAATTTATAATTTGAACTATATTGTAGTTGACACTAGTTCAATTGTATATTGAGTACCTATTATCAATGATTCTGTGGGGTGGGGTGGGGTGGGTGTAAATAATTAATATATATTATATTTTTTAATAGGTAATTAATATATATTATATTATAATTTAACATTTAATAAATCTATTTACCACCTAATTTTTGAAATAATTAGACAAATTTGTTAGTTTTGAAAAGTAATTCTTATGGGTAGGTTTTTTGTATTGTTCCCATTATTAAACTCGTCAAAAAATTTGGAGGCCCATTGGTGATGCCGGTTCGGGCCATTGACTGGATAAGTTTGAAGTCGGTCCTAATTGGTGTCTCAGATTCTATGGACCATGTGGTTTTGATATTTAATTAATTCCATTACAAATGTTCCTAATCCTTTCAACATTAAAAGGTCCTTCGAATGTGCACCAACCTGTCATTGCCAATTCGAGTACTTAATTGGATTGTTTGCTATGGATCACTCCTGATTTTATAGTCTTGTTGATATGGGTTTCGTCAGAGTGCAGTTTCAAACAATAGACCCAAAGCTTCAAATGGTCTTGTTATATTAATTCTTATTATTAATTTATCATTTAACAAATGAATTAACTGCTACATATTCTAAACCAGATGCATTCTATATATAAATTGTTCGAGATATCGAGAGTGTGTTTTGTAAATTAAGTTGATACTTTCAACAAACAAAATAACAAGATGAACCTTGCTATGACAAATAACAGTAGAACTAGGAACTTCACGAATGATTTGAAACAAATACTCCGAGGCAAGTTCAACTCTTTGTCTCGACCAAATTCATATCATGCAGTTCTTGTTTCTTCTTCTCGAATTCGGTTTCGGTGAGATGAAATTGTGTTCGATTTTACGCACGTGAAATTTTAGTGATTGGAATATATTTATGCACATCATATTTTACTAACAATCTTAAGATGATTATGCTCTGCACAAGTGTTAATGATTTTTCGACATTTGTCTTACAAGATATAACGATCACGTCCCGCAATAGGAGCACTCCAAATTACTAGACCAACGAACCTTACCGATGTTTTGAACTCTCTTTAGAAACCTCACTCAAAATAAATGAAGAAATCATTTTAAGTGCATGTGCATTATGTGATAGCATCAATATGATGATACATAGTTGTTGAAAATATTTGTCTCAAAAGACACAACCTAACAAAAGGGCATAACTATTGAAATTAATCTCTATACATGAAGAGACTCATCTATTGGAAAATATTAATAACTTCAAAACTCATAATCTTTGATGTGGAAAGACACACCTTTTAGCTAAACGATTTTAGAATATTTCATAATATTTTACATAATTTTCCAATAATTCATCTATTTAAGCGGCTTAATTTCTTATTCGTCAAATAATTTTCAATTAATTAATCAATTGAAATTGGTCAAAACTAATTTTCTATACAAAATTCCAACTATTAAGATGATTATTATGGTGCATAAATGATTGCATTTGTTAATAAGAATATTCATATTAAATTTATTACAGGGAGTGGAAAATGTTGGAAAAGGAAGAAACCAAATAGCGGCTAGATTTTATTTTATTTTTCACTGTAGTCACCTTTGTTCTGAATGTGTATGCATACAGTTATATGGCATTGGTTGATATAATTTGTCTGCATATGTGTTTTATTCTTCTTTGAAAAGTTGGGTTCTTGGTTAATTAACATTTGTGATACCATTGCACTTAACTGTACATGTGAACTTCTCTCTATTAATTTTTTGAATATGCATATTTATTTGAGAAAATGATAAGGAAAGGTAAATTAAGCCAGATTCAAGTGTAAAATTATGTATCTGATCTTATTGGAGCGAACATGTGTATGTCATTCATAAGAAAGAATTTCAAGTTTAATTAATTGTGAAATAACTTTCAGTGGCATAATAACCAATAATTCATTCATTTGCATATGGTTGAATTCAAAATTCAATTTCCACATTACTGTGGTTGAATGGTTAAAAATGGTGGCTGATGGGAATGGGTAATATATAGACTTTTTCCCACCAAATGCCGTTTACAATGCACACAAAATTAGGAAACTAATTTGTTGGTTCTGGTAATGTATAGAGAAGAAGAAAACTAATTTTTCAATGTTTATCGCTGATCTTTGCAACAACCTTTAGAGTGGAGATGAAAACTCCTAACCCGGACTTCTTTAATGCATAAACTGTAGTCACTTTATCACATGTTGATGGGTTTTAGACGGTGGAAACCCCTTTCTGCATGAGTTGCCAACCATTGATATATTGATGTGAATATTTCTTCACAGACGAATGTTTTGGAAGATGAAGTTAGAGACTTTTCACAAAAAAACTGATTTTCTTCCCACCGATGGTATGATACCCATGTGTCAATCCCTCCCAGAAGGTAAATCAAGACCCATGATCCTATCATGGTTGAGCACCGCTGTGCATGAGGTGAAATTTGCCAGGGAACCATTGTAAGGCTGCAAAATGAGGCGGCAAGCCTGTCGAGCGCGGGAATGGGTGATGTTTTCTATTTGGTCGATGTATTTGATACCTCCATATATCGGTTCCCCGACATGCCTATTGGTAAGAGCACTGTCGAGGGTTTCAATATAACGTTTCTCCATCTTGGTGAGATAGTGGATCTCGAGATCCATGGTGACGATAGGGGTGTTGTTGGTGAAGATGACGTATGTGCTGATGCACGGTTTGAGGGAAATATATTCATCTCCAATATGAAATGAATGCCTAACGTTCAAGGATGAAGGTATGCGAACAGTACAGTTGTCTTCATTCAATTTTATTTGAAATGGCATGACTTTTCATGGTTTAGTTAATTGACCATGCTACATGTACATAAAAATTAACACATTGATTTACACCCATTTGCGCTGACATATTTTGGTATATTGATTTTGACACCACTTTTTAACAGTCATACTTTTGACACATAGGTGGTGTCAATCAATGTGTATATGTACACGAGTAGTTTAATGCACAAATATTTGGTTGAGAATTTGAATATGGAAAGTGAATATCGTTTATTTGTGTCTATCACATGCATATTTTGACAATGGTAGTTTGTTAATTAATGAAAACCAATATTTGTGCAAGTGGAAAATTAGATCTGGGTCTATGTGTGGATTGTGATTTCAATAACTTTAAATGTGGAAGTACATAGACAAGACATTAACAATCCTAATCATTTTTACACGGTTTGAGGTGGAATATATGAAATGGATATTGTCTATTTGATAGATGAATCGATTCTGAAAGAGTTGATGAACTGTAAGTTCGAACATAACCCAACATTTATGGGGATTGCAACACAACTCATAGTATACATTCCTAAATAAGGAATTGTGGATAACTTATTTTACAAGTTACAATTTGTATACTTTATAAGTTATAGATTTTTTTATTTTAATTTTATTTTTTTATATGAACGTGAGAACGTAGAAAGCCTTTTTACTAATTTTAGAAGTAGGAGAATGGTTATGCTAATTTTAGAAGTATGAGAATGGTTTATAAATGTTATGAACTCTAAATCAAAAGTGGATAAAACTGGATGGAAAATGGATTATTGCATAGTATTGTATATGCAATAATAATTATTGAATTTATAAGTTGAACTATATTGTAGTTGACACTAGTTCAATTGTAAATTGAGTACCTATTATCAATGATTCAAAATCCACTAGTGAAATTGTCTTACTATGGCCAGTGCAGTGATGTATTACAAATCCTCCAACCATTTTGTAATTTGGAAGATGATATAGAAGCATGTGACTTCATATATTTATGAGAAAGTTCCTTATAAGTTGATGACTATTTGTATCTATTAAATGAATTAATGTGATAACTAACTATATTTAATAAATACAGAGTCTGCCAATAGTAAGTATAGACATATATCATAGACATAATACCATAAAACAGTTGATCTCACATATTGTAAAGTTGTGGATTCACTTAGAAACGTTTTACTAAGAAATTAAGTATACTGCCTATGAGGGGAACACACTTAGAGCTTACTAAGTAAGGATATTTGTAATGGTAACTCAATCTTTTTGACTAGAGATCCCAATATTTTGATTCAATATGACAACTAAGTTACAAAGATTCAATGAGCACTGGGAGTTAATTTCTACAAATTTCTATGATAAGAAAATACTATGTGCAGAATATTTTAGGTTAAGTTGAACTTTTAATAATTCCTATAGATTGGACAAACCAAGTGGAGTGCAACAGGTATTTATTAATGGGAGACCACCTATGTAAGTAAGAAGTGGGGCCACTTCTATGAGAATTCTTTAAAATACTTGTGAAAATCAAGAGTTTTTTAGGGTGAAAATAAATACAACCATGAAAATAGAAAGTGTTAGGAAAAATATTGTATGAGTGTTATTATCTTGATTTATAACAATGGTTGAAAAGTTCAAGATATCATGTTTACTGATTAAACAGGTAAATTCGATAGTATTTTACTAAGGCAAGTTCAAAGCCGAAGATGTCGAGATGAAAAAGTTCATTGTCGGTAAGTTCATTAAGTATAAGATGACAGATTCCAAGACCATCAACAACCAATTGCAAAGATTGCAAGCTCTTATCCCATGATATTCTTGCGAAGAAGATGACATTGAGTGAGTTACTCCAAGTTGCTGCAATCATGAGAACCGGAATGATTTAAGAAGAGTGCCGTTGTCTTGGTTTATATCAACGACTAAATGATTCGAGGCATTACATTCACCAATTAACCAAATAAATCCGATAGTATTTTACTAAGACAAGTTCGAAACCAAAAGCTACCTCTCTTGATGAAATATTTTTTCTCTTGTCTCTCTACTGGTGCCTGCATGATCATTTGCATATTTGGTAATTTTCATTCATGTGGGAGATTATTGAAATTTGGTTAAAATAAATTGGTTAAGTAAAACCATGAAAGATTGATTTTGTATCAATTTCGACCAAGTATTTGGACACTAATTTCTCAAGATTAATCATGTTTGAAGGATCATTCTTTGGAGGTCATCATACTTACTTCAGTTTAACTTGCAAATTATATTGTTAAAGTTAATGCACCTTATGGAGGTCCCAAAACCTGCATGTTATATTGTTTAAGTTGAATTGTGTTTGTTATGCACATTATTGAAGTCCCAGTTCAATTATCGAAAACAAGATAATAGAGAAATATGTACTTCATTGATAAAGAAATTTGTACAAAAGGAGGCCTCAACCATTACATAGAAAGAAAAATGAAAATCTTAAACTATGCCGGCAGCGGCAGGGAATTAGACACCTCAGTAGAAGGTACTTCAATAGCTAGTTCTTCTTACCTTGAAACTTCGTCCTCAAGAGCACCATCTTGGTCAGCTTCTGTACCTTTAGCTTCGACTATACAGCAGCAAGGATCCGAGGTATCTCCTCCAAGAACTCTACCTTCAGTTCAGAAGTATTGAGTTCTGGGTAAAGCTTCCCTACCCTATCTACTACCTCAACGTAAGCAAACTTCCTCCAATAGGCACTGAAGCTTTGGTACTCTTCCGTCAAGTAGAAGTTGACAGTGTAATCCTTCACCGCCTCCTCATCTGCTTTCTGACTACCAGCCTTGGCCTGTTCAGCTTCCTGATAGGGATGGCAATTCGAACTGTTAAAACGGAAAACCTCAGTTAACCGAACCGAATGGGGCAAAAAAAATCGAACCGATGGTGCAATGGGGCGGTTATGGTTTTGATTTTAATGACCCTGTTCGGGGTGGGGATGTTATGGTATTTAGCAACAGTGCCCCGCCCCGAATCGATTACCCATTAAAAAAAATTAATTGGGCAATTGAGCTTTCCATTATTCTTTCCCAAAATTAATTGGGCAATTTAGACAATTGCGCTTCCCTAAAATTCTGGTCCAATCAACATTACTAATAAACCCTTAACTCAGTAACCTAACTCTAACACTGCACGTTAAAATTGAAAATTGGATTATTAACATTACTAGTAAACCCTTAAGGCAGTAACACAACTCTAACCCTACACATTAAAATTGAAATCTGGAAACCAAACTTACAAAACACTCGTCCACTAAATCAATGAACCAAATCAGATTCGTTGGCGCTCTGCTGCCTATACCTCAACTTCAAATTGTAGTAATTAGAAACGAAGTCTACCATCTTTTGAGCACACTCCCTAAGTTGTTCTGTATCCATTGGGTTCAAATCATCTTCCATGTACAATTTAACAAGACCCAGATACATTATACTTGATTGTATTTTTTTATAATATAATTTAAATATATGATACATGACCCGAAAAATGTGATTTTTAGTTTGTTTTGCTTGCTAGTTTTTTTTTTAGTTTCTCTGTGTTCATAAGAAATAGAAAGTCGAATTATTAATTTGGTTACAGAATTGATGTGGCTTTTTGCTAATGTTATTAATGAAATTCCAGAATTCAACATATATTTTGGGTTATATTGTTTGCGAGAGCTTGGTAATTTACCAATCCAGTATGGAAGAATTATTATTTTTTTTATTTCTACTTTCATTTTTCATTTATGTGTCAAGCAATTTTT